ATTTCTACCATTGAATAATCTTCCTTCTATAATCTACTTCTTTTTTCCTTTTTTTCCTGTGCTCTTTTACATTTTCTTATCATGTTAGGAAATACCCATCTCTCTCTCTCTCTCTCTCTCTCTCTCTCTCTCTCTCTGTTATCCTTTATGTTTTTGGAGTCCTAGCGAGTAGGTCTTAGTATAAAGCATTGGAGAATTTTATATTCTTACTTACATTGTGGTATTTATCACTTTCCAAGACAGTCTCCTCCATGTGGATTAAATGCTGTGTCTTTGCATTGACCTTTGTCTCTCTTAAGTCTCTACTACATATTGGTCAATGGGGCTATCTCAGACAATTTCTCAGCCTTCTTAATGGATATACCCTCTAAATTACATGAATGGCATTAAAATGGAAAGAGGGAGTTTAAACCACATCAGGCCATGTATTGGGCTATGTAGCATTTGGGCCATTCCTCTTCTCTCTTAGGATTCTAAAATGTGAGTTCTTTTAGAATAATGTATAGCTTGTAGCAGCACGTGATCACCTTCAGAGACAGTAGGACGATTGCTGCTGGGGTTCAAGGCACATTTTCTGTTTTTCATTGTGTTAGAATGAGTATGAGAGAGAAAATAGAATCAAACAGGAGCAGGACATGAAGCAGAATGAAAGCTCTGTGAACTTGAGAACTCCCTCCCAGGCTTCTTGTTTAATCTCTCCAGGCTTGCCATGGCAGATCTTGCTGCTAATATTCCTGGCAGCCAGAGGTCTTGGGAGAATGAACTTACAGTGTTAGTGGACAGGTTTGTATGCTTGTCAGTGAATAGTGGAGGGGGAGGGGTGGGGTCTCCTCAAAATGAATTGTAAATTGTATAGGATCTGCCTCTAATGAGTTAGTAACATGTGGCTTATGTCACATAGGTGCTATTCCCACCTTTTCCCAGTGTCCATTTATATCTGTGATCTCCCATAGTTCTTACCTTAAACCCAGTAGGCATATAGTTTAAGGAAAGAAAAAAGGAAGAGAGAGGGTAAAGAGGGAGAGATTGAAGGAGGGAAGGAAAGATGGAAAAGGAGAAGGGTGGAATAGGAGGGAGGGGAGAGGAGGGAAGAGCCTGAGAAGTTGGTTGGCAATTACTTTTAAGTTTGCAAATAGGACAGTAGGTGGGTAAGGGAAGCTATGCCTCTTTTATCCAGGGCTTTTATTTGTTTGAAAAGGTTCAACCAAAGGGAATGTTTTGTTCATTTTTGATTTATACCTAGAGCAGAGGAGACATCTGCACAGAATTTTTGCATGAGTTAATGGCACCACAATCAGTTTGACCCCATGGTTTTAGGAAAAACTCTTAAATGGCAGAAGTAGAGTTTAGGAAAGAGTTTCTGTTAAAATACCACAAAGCATTATCCTTTATTGATCAGAATTTGCTAGCGGGTGGGTATAAATGTTTACAGAAGCAAAGAAATCCACTGCCTAAAAGCTCCAAAGGGCTCTTGAAGGCCATTGTCATGCAGTGTCCTCTTTTTGAGACAGCAGGCCTGCTGAGTAAGCACACAAGAATTCAAGGAACTCAATGTGTACCCAAATAAAATGACTGCTGAGCAAAGGCTTGCAGCCGGAGAAGTGATCTCTGGCTGCATGTGTGGCTGCAGCAATGTAAATTAGCCCCTGCCTGAGGCCTGAGAAAAATCAGGTCAGGACCAGGAGTCACCGTGAGGTCGGTCTGAAAGATGCATAATGAACTTCTCCTTTCCTCAAGACAAAGCATCTATTAGTGCTTTCTTGAGGTGTACAAAAGAGATGGGTTTCCCTGAAGCAAAATAAGTGGGTTTCCCTGGAGCATCTGATGGTATCTTAGCAAGGTAAGGCATAAAGGAAGAAAGGATACTCAGTGGATGCTGGGGCCTATAGTGTAGGTAGAGTTGATGCATCAAGTCTCCAAAGATTTGTGCAGAACCTAAGCACCTACTAGGTGGTTTAAGAATACACATTCTGAGCTAGATCACCTCAGTTTGAATGGTACGTGGTAGCTGTGCAACTTTGGGAAGGGTTACTTAACTTTTCTGAGCTTTAGTTTCCTTAACTGTAAAATACAGACAATAATAGCATAGGCCTCCCAGGGCTGCTATAAAGGTTAATATTATAATACAAATTAATATTTGTATCTCGCTTAGGACAGGGCCTCACATAGAATAGGCACTAGGTAAGTGTTTATTATATGAATTCATACCTCAGATAATGGAGTTCCAGTTGCTGCTGCTTCCCACCAACCTACCACAAATCTAGTGACATAAACAACCACCCTTTTATTATGCTCACAAATTCTGTGAATCAATACCACGGTGGTGGTCACAGCTTGCCTTTGCTCCACGATGTTGGTCAATGAGAAAGACTCAAGATGCTGGGAGGGACTCAGGTGGCTGGAGCTTCTTCGCTCACATGTCTGGGGCCTGACAGGGATAGCTTGAAGTTTGGGTTCAGCTGGAGCACCTACACATGTCCTGGTCATAGCCCAGCTTTGTACATCCTGATAGCTGGGTTCTGGTTCTGTGGGTTCCAGCATGTGAAGACAGCTAGAAGGAAGGGAGGTAGCTTTTTGTAACCTAACCCCAGACATCACAGGGATTCACTCTCATTACATTGTACTGGTTGAAACTAGCCAGCTAAGAATTAGGGGCAGGTGACATAGACTCTACCTTTTCATGGTACATAATGGGACCATGGATGGAGAGCCCCAACAGCCCCATTAGCTTTGGTAGACCCAAGTGCATTGCTCAAGTGGGCAGAACTGTCATCTGGGATTCTTCCAGAAGAGCGAAAGCCCCAGGTTGACTTTCATCACTCCCACTGGGTGGGCCTCACTGAACGGAATCTAAGAATCAGTGCCCCTTTCGGTAGGGATTGTGGTGCAGGACTTTCAAGTGACTTTCAAGGCCACAAAGACAGGATCAGAAACTTGTTCTCCATTTCCTACCTTCTAGCACAGTGGCTGGCATATCCCATCACCTGGATTCAGTGCTGAGTTGCGATTCTTATTTCACTGAGGTTGCCTCTGCTCCGTTGTTTTAATTACAGGCTGTTATTTCATTTAAAAAATCAGCGATAGGATTAAGGGTACTGTCATTTTAAAAGCCAGACTCCTGGCCTGAAAACTCGTCAGTGAATCAGAGGACAAATGTTCCCATTGTGCTGGTTAAAAATAGGAGCTATGGAAAAAGTGACAGAATGAGATGAATGCCATTAAAGTGTAATTACATTTACTGTAAATGTGAGCCTTGGGAAGAGTCTATTCTAGGCAGAGAAGCTGTACCAGATCCTGGAACGTGGAAAACCCAAGGCCTCTGCTGATAACTGCTTTTATGTTTTGAATTTTTATAGTGTGTATAGTTACAGATTGATCTTACTGTCCGTTAGCCTTGTTAGGGGTATTAGAAAGAACTACGTCACTTGAAAGGAAAGTAAGAACCATATAGTTCACCTTGAATCTCAGAATGTGGGTTTCCCATTGTTCTCACAAGGTGATGTTTCTATGTATCTATATTTCATATATCTATCAATCTGTATGCCTATGTGTTTCTGTATGTCTATCTCCTGCCTCAGCAGTCAAGTGTAGTAGCTGGATTGGACATATTTGAAATATAGGGTTTAATTGTTTGTTTGCTTATGAAGATAGTTTCTGTTTTTCTGATTTTAAAACAATGTATTCTTGCCATGTAAAAATATTAAAAATATACAAAAAAGTAAACTATTATAAACACGTAGGTAAGTTTTAATGAACATCCTTTCTAGTCACAGTGTTTGGATTTAGAGCTGGTTCTGACATTTTTGTTGCTGTTGTTAAAGCTTATTCGGGACATATTTTAGTGATAAGATAGCATTACATCTTGATGTCTGGTGGCTAACTGGTATTCCATAGGGTCAGTATACCATAGCTGATGTATTTAGTGATGACACTAGGTGTCATAATGAGCCAAGTATTATTTTGGTCCATAGCTAAAAATTATTCCCTCACGTAATTGAAAGACAAATGGTATCAAGTTTATATATATATATATATATATATATATATATATATATATATATATATATATATAAGCTTGATTGGAGAAGTAGAAGGAAAAAAAATGGCTGAAGGAAACAGAGACTAAAAAGCAGGACTGGGTTCTCTTTCTCAGTCTCCTTCCCTAGCATCCTTCCTCCAGTAGGAGGAGGCATAATGGAAGCCAGAGTGGCTTTAGGTAGTAACTTTCCAGGAATGTTGGCTGAAGCCAAAAATAATATTGGGACAATACTCTGAAACTTGGAACCCAAGTTAGCTTTATTTTTTTTTTAAATTTTTATTTATTTACGATAGTCACACAGAGAGAGAGAGAGAGGCAGAGACACAGGCAGAGGGAGAAGCAGGCTCCATGCACCGGGAGCCCGACGTGGGATTTGATCCCGGGTCTCCAGGATTGCGCCCTGGGCCAAAGGCAGGCGCCAAACCGCTGCGCCACCCAGGGATCCCCCAAGTTAGCTTTAAAGAGAATGATAAACAGGATGATGTTACAACGTAGCTCTGGTAATAGGGTTTCCATTTCTCTCAGAAGCTGCTCTTCTCCACACTGGGTCCATGGCCATTGGAGCTTCAGTGTCCTTCATTTCTCCCTAGGATGGTGTAACATTAATGACAATACTGACTCTCTGTGGTGGTGAGCAGCACTTGATGCCTCTGGCCTAAAACCCCTCAAGAGTAGGTACTGACCAGCTTCTAAATGTCCCCTGCACTCACATGGTCCCTGGCACATAGCTGGCACTCAGAAGGCCTTTGCTGGAACAAAAGGAAATGTATTTAGGGTAATTATGCAGATTCTTTTGGGTCTGCAATGGAGACTAGTCACCACTAGGTGTCATAATGAGTCAAGCAAAAATTTGGGCTCAAAGCTAAAAATTACGCTTTTCCTGTATTCATTCTTATGCATGCATGCATTTACTTTTTCAGCAACCATGTGTTGAGTGTTTACTGCATGCCATGCACTTTGCGGTATTGGAAATCATGCCATCACTGAGCTCCTGGACCTGGTTGGCAAGAAAACCACAGTAGGTGCTGAGACAGGGGTAGAAACCAAACCCTGTGAAGACACACAGCCTGATTTTGCTTGAGTAAGGTGAGTGGCTTCTGAGAAAGATGGCTTTGAAAATGAGTTTTGAAGGATAAGGACAGGTAAGAAGTTCAATTCATTATTTCAAAAATACTTTCTTTTGGGGAATTCAGGGCAGAAGGGTGACCTCAAAGCTGGTCCAGGTTTTATTCTTGTTGAGGACTGAGCTTTTGAGCTTATCAGAAATTTTTGGCAGAGGTATGCTTTTAGTTCCTTTTTTACTGTCTAGATGTATGTTGCAGTTCAAAGTTAAGATTTCTAAGTTTTCACACTATCAGTAAGACTACATGAAAGTTCTCCTCATTGGGCCCTAATCATTATCAGGAAACAGTGAAAGTTGGCTGGTTTGGAGAGAGTTGTGTGGTCAGCTGGCTCAGGCTGGGGCCTGGTGTCAGTACTGGGCTAGGCCAGGATCCCGGTCAGGGACCCGGTAACCTGCAGTGGGACTTATCTAGGGGCTTGGTCCTGCCAAAGATTGACACTGTGTTGGATGAAAACATAAGGTGCTTGGTAACACTGAGGGCCTGGGGCTTAGGCCTAAACCCCAAAGCAGTTAAGTTCATTCCTGGGGACCCTGTGTCAGTGAGAGAGAGAAGTCTCCTGACCATCCCACCTTCTTCCAGGTGTATCTCAAGCCTGAGTGTCTGTGACAGGATATAGCTCAGTCTGCTGGTGAGACCCATCTACCTTTACTAGATACAGGCTGACTCCTTTGTGATGGAGGGAGCCAGCTTATATTCCATTCCCAGCACCTGAACCCCACACTGGGTTCCTGCAAGCAGAGCTTTTGGCCAGAGCCATGAGAGCTCCCAATCTAGATTGTTCCCAACAAGATGGTTGCCCAGGCTGTGTGTGAACCTTTTTGGTAACAGGGAACTTGCCAAGACAGCCCATTCTATTCAGTACACATGGTTCTTTTTTTAAGTTGTGGTAAGATACACATAACATAACATTTACTATTTTTTAAGTATACAGATCCGTGGATTAAGTACATTCACATTGTTGTGTAATCATTACCACAGTCCATCTCCAGAACTTTTGTCTTCCCAAATTGGAATTCCATGTTCATTAAACACTGCCTCCCCATACCCCCTCCACCTAGCCCCTGGCAACCACCATTCTGCTTTGTGTCTTTATGGCGTGACTATTCTAGTATCTCAGGTGAGTAGAATCATACATGTTCTTTTGTGCCTGGCTTATTTCACCTAGCATAAGTTTCATCCATATTGTAGCACGGGTCAGAATTTCTTGCTTTCTAAGACTGGATAATATTCCATGGTATATATAGACCACATTTTCTTTATCCATTCCTTTGTCAGTAGATACTTGGGTTGCTTTCACTTTTGGCTACTGGGAATAATGCTGTTATGATATACAGATATCTGTTTGAGTCTCTGTTTTCAGTTATTTTTTTTAAAGATTTTATTCATTTATTCATGAGAGACACAGAGAGGCAGAGACACAGGCAGAGGGAGAAGCAGGCCCGTCGTGGGGAGCCCAACACAGGACTTGATCCAGGGACTCCAAGACCATGTTCTAAGCCTATGGCAGGTGCTCAACCACTGAGCCACCCAGGCATCCCTGTTTTCAGTTCTTTTGAATATATACCCCAAAGTGGAACTGCTGGGTTATATCATAATTATATATTTAATTTTAGGAGTAAATGCCATCCCATTTTCCACAGCAGCTGTACCATTTCACATTCCCCCCCAAAGCAAGAAGCAAGGATTACATTTTCTTCACATCCTCACAACACTTGTTATTTTTAGTTGTGCAAATCATTCTTTTAATTGAGCCCAGATCCAGTACCCTCCACCTTCTCCTACCATTGCTCCAGGTTGTGAGCTACCTAGGCTAAATCTGCTCTTCATGCTGTAAGAACGCCATTCGTGTGTTACTGGAAAGTGCTCCAGATGGTCTGTGTTCCTGGAAGGTCCCTCAGGACTGGGGACAGATAGCTCGATGTAATCTGATCCTCACAGAGTGATGGAGGAATATAGCTTCCTTTGTCTTGGGCGTTTTGCTTATGTTTTTGCAACGTTTGCATTTGTTTTGCCAATAGCCTGACACCTGCTGGCTCATATGGATTTGTATCAATTAAGATATCCAGGCCTTTTGAATAGGAGCAGTTGTTAGACCAGGTAACTCCCAAACCCACCTCATAAAATTTGATTCCTTGTACTTTATGAAGCAATTCTGACATGCACAGAGGTACATAGGTAACAAGTGTTACATTTGTGTAAACTTTGAGGCATGGTAATCAAATGAATGCTGGTGAAATTGCCCTCAGTAGGAGAACTATAATATTACCAATACATTTGAAACTACTGTGTGCTTCTTCCCTGTCCTATATCCATTTCACTCTTAGAAGTAGCCTGAGTATTTTTTTTCATTAATTTGCTCATTTAAAAGTAGCTGCTCTGTGTCTATATGTATCATTTAACAATATATCATACTGTTTTACTGGTTTTTAAGCTTTGTAAATATGTTGTCTATTGCAACTTCTTTTCCCACTCAAGTTTATGTTTCTGAGGTTCAGCCATGTAATTGTGTGTGGTTAGAATTCACTCATTTTTATTGCAGTGTCCTATTCATTTGTATGTTTCTACCACATTTTGCTTACTTATCCTATTTTATCAATGAGCATGTAGGTTATTTCCAGTTTGCAGCTGTTGCAAACAGTGCTGCAGATAGGTACCTATCTATTTCTTCGCAACTCCAAATCCACGCATCTCTGCCTTGCTTTGAGATGCTGGAGCTGGACCCTGTAAACATTTTCTTGTTGTTGTTAGATTTGTCAGTAGATGGTTCTGGAAATACATTGGAGAAGGAAGAGGCTCCTACTCTTGTTGCAGGTGCTTTCTCCTTTCTAGCCCCTATGGCATAGTTGCCAGTGGCATGTGTGACACCCTGGGGCTCTTACCTTCCACCAAGATATCCTCACACCCTGGGAGGCATCCTGCTTTCCAGCCTTGGCCCAGGCTGTGTACTAGAAGTGGCTCAGAAAACCCCATGAACACCATCTCTCTGAGGTCTGAGACCCAGCCAAGTTGGCTCCTTGCTTGGAGTTCTCGCTTAGCCCTACAGTATTCTTTAGAGCTCTTTTATCCCTTCTCAGTAGTAAATCTCTTGTTACTAGTTAATACACTTCTATGTTGCACTTTTCCTGTTCAAATTACTGATGTGCTTTCTGTCTCCTGTTTGTACTCTGAGTGATAGAATTCACACATGGATTCTTTGGTGCCTGAGGACTAAGGGAGGGAGACCGTAGCTGGTGATGGTGGATGTGGGGTCCCAGTGTACATGGTGTCAGACTGGCTCATCTCACTGCTTCTGTGTCCTTGGAGCTGGTAGCTGGTACCATCAGGCTGGCTTTGAGCTTCAGCCTCAAGAAATACAGGCTTATTGTTGGTTTTAAACCTCAGTCGCTACTATAAAATCATCCTCCAAAAATGATTGTTTTGAATTTCCAACTTTTAAAAATACCCTCATCTGTTGCTAATATATGAGATTCACAACTCACTGAATTGTTGTGGTCAGTCGGTGGAATTCTGGAAGCATTAGCCAGGGTGGCCCAGCCATGCTCAGTTTTCATCATCATTTGAACAATGCTCTACTCAGTCTCACTGCCTGCCACAGTCGAGAGAGGAGAGGATTTCCAAATAGTCTTTTCTTGTAGGAAACCCAGGGAAATGATCTCTTGGACAGAAATCTCCCCTTACTTTGCTTGGGGTTAGGAGCTCTGATGTCACCAGCTGTTCTTGAAACCTTTTTTCATCCAAATTTTTGTTCCTTGTCAGCATAAGTACCCAGACAGCTTACATATAGCCCAAAATCCTTTTAGAAATTAGCTCCAGCACCCAGGCTCTGATGTCTGACAGATCTGAATTTGTATCTTAGCTTTGCCCCTTCTACCTGAACTGGTTGCTTTGCTTTCTGAGTCCTCATTTCCCTAGAGCAGAGATAATAACAAGGCCAACTTTCTAGATAAGGATGAGGATACAAGACAATGAATGTAAAATGCTTGTGGGGCATTGTGTCTGGTTTGACTATGGAGGTGTGGGGTGGGTGGGTAGGTGTTGAGTGCCCAGTGTCCAGCATCCAGAAACAGAATTTGAAAACAGGCTGGGAAAACAGGCTTTTTTTTTTTTTTTCCAAATTATCTTTTATTTATACAAAAAGGGCATGTTTAGCAAAAGACACTGAAAAAAAAAGTCGCTATGGCCCAGGAGACAAGGCAGGGAGGTGACAGGCCTAGGGAGGCCTTGCTAGGGGAGGAGTCTGGGAAAGGTGGTGACAAGTCCTGGGTAAGTGCTGAGTGGTGGGGGCCACAGAAAGGAGCAAGCTCCAGTTGGATCAACACTGTTGGCAGGTCATGGGTGGGACTCACAGTGACCTTGCTGCTAACTCTTGAAAGAGTCCCAGTCAAGTGCTATTGCCTGGAGTGAGAGCTGCCCCCTGGTTCCTGGAGGGCACCCACCAAGGGACACAGGACAGGACGCCCAGGTTGGGAAGTGCAACTCGAGGTGAAGGCCAGGCAGAAGCAGGTGCTTGGAAAGGCGCCAGGTATAGTTCTGTCAGTGAATTCTTTTTTCATTAACATTTTCATTGAAAAAAAGAAAGAAAAACTTTTCAACCTAGGCACATGCCTAGATTTGTTCAAAGTGGACAGTAAGGGCATTTTATTGTTCATTCTGCTTTTCCATATGTTTGTAAGATTTTGCAATAATATAATACAAAGTTATCTGCCAAAACAAAAGAAAGATTCTTTTGAAATTTTGTTAGTCATTTTCATCTTTCATGATAAATTCAATGAAACTGAATTTGTTATTTTCATTTTTTCATGATAAATTCAGTGAAACTGAATTTAATGCTTTTGCTTTTTGAAAAGCTATGTATTAAAATACCATTTTACATGATTATTTCCAGAAATCTGTTCTTCTGCATGTAGGTTTGGTTAACCTCAGGTATAACATTCACACACACACACACACACACACACACAC